TACAAGGAAAGGAAACTCATTGATTAAAATATTATTTTGTCAGTAGTCTTAATGTACAAGAGACTTTAAGACTCCACTTGAATATTATAAAACTTTTATTGAACATTGTACAATTTTCTTGCGTATTATAAACTTTTATTGAATATTGCATCTTATAATATAATATTCTCCAAATAAATATATCTCGTGCTTCGCACGGGTCACGTACTATATATATCCCGTATATTTTTCTTTATTTATGTATATTAATTACAAGATAGCCTTAAAATTGTGCATCCCGTGCATCGCTCGGGCTCTATACTAGTGTTACTTTAATTTTAGGAATATTTATTTAAATAATAACAAACCTTTGGCATTGATGACGCTATTAGTCAATAACTTTTAAATATTTTATGATAAGTGCATACTTTCTTTTCAATTCAACCTGATATGTCAAAACAAAACTACACAAAATCAACTAGAAGTCAAATTTTTTTGAACAAAAAATTATATTCTTTTTTATCTAGCAAATATTGTACTTCTCTTATTTAACTACATCTATCATTATATAAAAAGAATAACCTTTTTACAAATTTAGAAACTTTTTCCCGCCAAAATCATTAAATATATCCTACATATAGTAATTGTTGAATAAGTCTGAATAGACAAAAAAATCGGCTCATTAATTGTGTAAAGACTTGTTTCTCTTTTTCCTGTTTTTTAGTTTATCAAAACCGTTGTTTGACAATAAATATTTATTTTTCTTTTTCCTATTTTTAGTATAAATCTACACGAGCTTATCTCTGTTAGAAAATCTCATTGCATACGTCTCACGTGTTTAAAAAATCTCATCCCTTATCTATACAGATTTGAAAAAATAAAATAAAAATCAATTCATAATTACTACTAGAAATTCATAATCTTTAAAAAGAAAAAATAAAAAAAAAATAGAAACCAATTCATAATTACTACTATAAATCCATTATCTACTTTAAGAAGTTAATTTTCATCGGTCTAATTACTAATATTTTTACAAATATTATAAGCTAACCATACAAAAAAGTATAATAATAATTTTGAAACGGTGTGTAATCAAATTTTTTTATTCTCTTATACAAAATAATTTTACATTGTTTGACCCCGAATCTTTAATTTATAATTATTAAGTATTGTTTATCCTCTCTTTAATTTATAATTATTTTTTTTTCTTCCTCTTTTTAAATAGGATCAATAGTAATTTCCTCTTCCGCCATTGAATGACTCAAACTCGAAGTCTATTTATAATATTGTTAATTTAATATTATTCCCGTGCATCGCACGGGGTATACACTAGTAATTTTGTATATGTGAGTTCATAGCATTATAAGCGTGCAATATTCAAATAACCTTAGTTTGGTAGGACGAATTTTTTTAAGAAGCTCAAGTTTACCTCACAAGTTTTTTGGGTAACTTTTCAAATAAATTCATTAATTTTTTTTTCAACTAGTTTATCAACTAATTTCATCAAACACTTATATTGTATAAGTTAGCTTTTCAGTCATAAATTATAAGTTATCAGTTATAAACTTAAAATTTACTTATAAGCTATAAACTAACTTATTAACTAAGTTTACCAAATAATTAATAAATAAAAAATGATAGTGCAACCAATGAAAGATTTAAGCTTAATCCCACAATAAAAATAAAAATAAATCACTTAATTGGCGAGTTAGTGAGAGGAACACAAAGGAGGTGGGTAGTGGTAGGGAGAGAGAAGAGGTACTTGTTGACAAATCCAGAAAGTGATTGGGAGAGACAGAGCACACAGGCGACACGTGGAATGTGGGCCCATCCCAATTTTTAGCCACAAGAACCCACCACCAAAAGATCCTCATACCACCTTCTGGAGGTTTCCATGACAATATTTTTTATTAAAATTTACACAGACGTCAAAAGATTGAATTTTTATTACAATATTTTGTGCGTTTGTGGAATAAAATATCAGAATAAATCTTGCGGTGGCGATCTCTGTTCCTAAAATGCTGTTTGCCCCTTCATTTTATACGCCATTCACAGCCCATAGTTGCGCTCTCTCTCTCTCTCTCTCTCTCTCTCTCTCTCTCTGAGCCTTAATCTTGGTTTCTTAGCTGCTTTGATTCTTTTTTTGGGCTTTTAGTACTTCTCTAACTGTTGATGCCACGGAGAACTGTGGGGGGTCATTATTGAAAAGCTGAGTTTTTTTTTTTATTTTTATTTTTTTGTTTTTGGTTAATTTTGCGCTTTGGCCCGTTTCTTTTTCTGGTTACACTAATCCTTGGAGCCATGGTTGCTGAAGCGAAGGTGTGTTTTGTGTTTGTATACTTTCCGCTTCTGTAATTTGTGCGTTTTACTTTGATTTGTGTTGAGAAAAAAGTATTGGGCTGCAAAATTATGGATCTGAAAACTGGATTTGAGCTTGTAGATTACGGAATTATACCCTTCTTATAAAGCAAGGAAGGATCTTTTTGAATATTATATTGTCTTTTTGATTGGGAATTTTAAGGTTGAAGGGTTCTATGTTGTATGAATCGCGTGTTCACCTTTTGTTAATGCCAATTTGCCCTAGCTACATGTAAGTTTCAGGATTGTTATATACTTCGCGAAGTACCACAATTAGTTTATGTTTTGTCCTTATTTTTCAGGGTAGTTCAGGTAATCTTGTAGCTCATTTCAGTCATTCATGAAGCATATGCCAGCTGAACTGTCTGAAACTGTAGAAAGTTTGTTCTCTCTCGGTGACCCATAATTTATGTAATTATGTTTGACTAAGTTTTGAAACGGGGGTCTTTGTGGATTTAGCTGCATCCTATTAAATGAAATTTTAAAAATATCTTAGTAGTGCTCTATCCTTTGGGAAGAAGGTGGATGGATGATGTTATCGAAGGACTATTACTCTATATATGGTTGATTGTGATATTTGAACTTACAGCCTGTTAATCGATCTAGTTCTAATACCATCTGTAATTTCATGTTGTACTGTTATTTTGCATAGTAGCCAGTAAATATTAAGTGGTAGAAAATTTGAGATCCAAAAAGTATTGATTCTAACTGTGATCTATCTGCAGGATCAAACCACACAATCTTACCAGGATGTGGCTAATCAACCAAAGAGCTTATCCCCTGATGCAACTGGCTTTGCACTTAAGGTCTCAGTTTTTCCTCCTTGAAATTGGCACTTGTTTATTTTCATGTCAGATAAAGTACACCCGTGTTATTTGTTGCCGCGCATAATGTAGAAATCCATCTTTCATTACGTTATATTAGGTGAGAAAACCCTATACTATCACAAAACAGAGAGAGAGGTGGACAGAGGAGGAACATCAAAGGTTTATTGAGGCCCTGAAGCTGTATGGCCGTGCTTGGCGCCAAATTGAAGGTGAGTGTGGTATAGGGTTGTTCGCACCGAAAAAAGGTCTCATTTGAAAGGTTTTGATGTCGGATTTAGTTCTTTCTACTATGTATTGTCCCTAAATTTTGTTCTTCGATCATATAGCTGTAGAGTTTTGCTTCAGCTTCCCTGCAGAAATCGAGATCTGAGAAAGAACATCTGTAATGTTTGTTCATCTATTGATTTCAGTTGTTTAATTTGGGGAAATTGAAAATTTCTATCAGGAAAATAAAAATCCGCAAGTCTGCATTTATGGTTGTACTTTATCTGACATGAAATCACGTTCTGTCTGTAGCGAAGCCCTTCTGGATTTTGAAGTGGATGGTTTACATAGTTGAACAAAACTTGCTTTGTTATAACTATTATCTACATAGATTGGATTAGAAAGTTTTTCTTAAAAGAGCAGGACTTTTTGCAGGATGATTATCGTCAAATGATCTGATTCTTGTTTCATGTTTGGATATTATAATGTAAAATGTTCTCTTATTTATGCAGGACACGTGGGGACCAAAACCGCCATCCAAATTCGCAGCCACGCTCAAAAGTTCTTTGCAAAGGTCACCAAAGATTCACCCGGAGATGCAGAAGGATCTCTGAACCCAATCCAGATTCCCCCTCCTCGACCTAAGAAGAAACCTTCACATCCTTACCCTCGTAAAATGGTCGACTCAGCCAATACAGAAGCTGTGGCCGTGGCCCCTCAACAAGCAGAAGGGTTGACCGATATGTCTGTTTCTGAGAGAGAAAACTATTCCCCAACTTCAGTTTTGTCGGCCATCGGTTCCAACAATGTGGAATCCCCACTTGCCGAGACTCAAAAATCCAGCCTTTCACCGGCTTCATGTGCGACTGATAATGCTAATGATAATGAACATGCCATGTCAGATGAGTCTTCGAAAGAGGAAGACGGTTTGGGTTTATCGTTGAAAATGTGTGCTGCTTCGGGCCCGGATAATAAATCCTCTACCGTGGTATAAATTAGTTCCTTTTAATTACAGAGATTACCCTTTGGTGGTTCCTATTTTTCTCCTCTTATATGTTTTGGCTTCTTTTTTTCTTTTTTTTTTCCCCTCCGTGACAGCAGAAGTTCGAGTTATTTCCTGATGAGGGAACTGAATCGTCGCCATGTGGTGGACAAAATTGTGCAAGTATTAAACTATTTGGGAAGACAGTTGTGGTAAGAGATAATCCAAAACAGTCCGAAGAAGCTTTGGAAGATAATGAATCCTTAGTCCCTGGTGTTGTTCTGAGTGAGGTTTCTGAAATGGAAAAATCTAGAAACTCGAATCTTGAAGTTTCTGAATTATTCTCGAATAGTGCAACTCCATTGAATCCAGTGGGTGGCCCAACGGAAAACGTATTTAGTTTCCCGTGGTGCACTTGGTACAATGGTCCTGTTTACTACCCTTACCATTTACCCGTAGAAAATGTCGAAAACGGCCCCGGAGGAGTAAATGAAGAAGAGGAGTCTCTTGTTGGTTCAAACAGTGGGTCCATGAGTGAAGTCAATGCCGAGAACCGATACAGTGATGTGGTTGAGTCAAGAAATTTGTCGGACAGGAGAAGAGGGAAAGGTTTTGTTCCGTACAAACGGTGTTTGGCTGAGAGGGATGAAAAATCGTCGTTTTCCTTTGTGCAAGGACGTGAGAGTCAGCGGGCTCGTGTTTGCTCATAGCACTTACTGCTATAATTTAGCTATTTCTTTCGTTTTTTTCCGGTAACACTTCTAACCCGGGTCACCTTTTTCGACAGTGGAGTTCTAGCTGCCAAATGTGAGATTTTAATTTCATGCAGTACATTCAACTTCTGAATAATCATAGGTGACCTCGTATTGACAATAACACAATAGAATGTGATGTTTATTTTATTTTATTTTTTTTGTTCTTTTCTTTTTTTCCTAGTTGAACTGTGTTTCAGATTTCGTAATTTACAATGTAACTTTTGTACAAACTTTTACTGTCTAATCTCCCTGCTAATTCAGCTTGTTCAATCATTGAAGCCTCAACTTATTCTTTTTTTTTTTCCCCTTTTACAGTTTGTTATTCAAAATTATACTGGTTGAATTCACCTAAATCAAGTTATAGTTCTCACACAATTTGGAGTGTAATAAAAATGTTAAATATTTGTAAATGATGTTCCTGCTAAAAGTGAATTAATGAATCAGATTCTGAAGATTTTTCCAAAAAATTAAAACATTTATTTATTTTTAAAGTATCGCATGAAATTGCATTTGCATATAAAGGTTTGAAAAGTGGAAAACCAAAATTATATATACCGGTGGAGAGGTATTTTATGGGATTGGAAACTTTTGAGAAAATCAATAATGAAATCAGTTTCAAATTAACTGAAACATTTGTTCTTTTTTGTATATTTTCGCCTTAACTGTGACAGCAATTTCAAATATGTTCCCAGAAGCAAACGCACCAATAACTTCTCAAATGTCAAAAGTAATTTAAATCATCCAGAAAAAACACCAAACAATACCCACCCTAACAAAAGCAATGCACCACCAAAAACACACACAAATATCCAAATTCACTTCACATCACCCCATCAGAAAACAACCACCCACAAAAAGAAAGGCGAATCAAAAGCTGCAGCAAGTGTCTACAACAGCCAAAATAAGAAAAAACGAATAACCCAAACACGAACGCAGATTAAATCTCCCATTCATCCACGCGTTCGCTTAGCAGTAAAACATGACCCTTTTGACGTTGTCCCTAAGCTGCGGAAGGGGTCTGACGGCTGCATTTGAGCCCGGGAGCCGCGTGCTCCTCACCCCCATACCTCCTCGCCCCCCAACTGCACTGCTCGTCATCGACCCGCTGTCTGAAGTCTCGGGTTCCATGTAAAAACGAGCACGGAAAGCAGCCAAATGTGCATAATATGCAGGCGGCACTGTTTAAAAGCAGTTATTAGCAAAAATCTCGAGTTAGAATAGAAATTCAACTCAAACTAACTCAATCATGGTTACCTGTTCAAGGGGTTATTTTGCAAATTCAGAAGATAATAGCTGGGGGCTTTTGTAGTTAGACCAGATTGAAGGGGGGTAAAAATCTTTTGTGATTTCCAAGTTAAGAGGTTATTTTGCAAATTTAGAAGATAATATAGCTGGGGTTTTTGTAGTTAGACCAGATTGAAGAGTTAAATGCTAAAACTAAATGAGCGCATGAATATATGCGTACCGATTGAAACAGAGCGGGTGCACCTAGCATATCTGCAAATAAAAAAAAAATGATAATTAAAAAGAATCCAATTTTTGCAATCACACCAGATGAATGCCTACGGTGAAAGGTAGAGAGAAGATTCAGAGGGCTTACGTGTAGCAGAGATTATTCGTAAGACTCTGAAGAGCATCAGCCGAAAATTTATTTTCGTCCCAAAGGACATGGTAATGAGCTGGACGGCTAGTCCCCTATGATTAAATTAATAGAAATAGAATATATCTCATCAGGCACATGCCAAGAAAAGAAAACCATTATTTACCGATATATGATAAGCTAAAGGTATGAAGAAAAAAGGCTAACCTGTATCCCAGCATGGCTGCAAAGGTAGAAGTCAAACTCTGTCGGGTGGCAGATCTTAGAATCCACAACAGTTCCTGCTTGAAATCATCTTCTTTTAATCTCCAAAATTTGATTTTGAAATGTTTTAACAAATTCTAGTAATCGAGTAATCACAAAAATACACCACTAGAATTTGTTCTCTATTACAAACTGAACCCATGATGGGGTATTCATGGGTGAGTTTAAGAAAAATGGAGATCTTGTGCGGTCTCTAATCGAAATTAAAACAAGTTACCAGGCAAAATATTCCCACTTCTATCGACCGCATGCCTGTCTTGGTGGTTGTTAGCAAACAGTCTCGTGTGGTGCCGTTTTTGAACCACAACAAATGTAACGGTTGGCTGATAGTTCGGCTCTAACGAGGCACATGCCTGAACAGGTACAAGACAAGATTAGTAAAACATATTTTACTTAAGTCAGATACATAATAACCTTAAAAAATGTCAGGAGAATAAATTAATATACCTTGCGTATAGCATCGAGTTCATAGAGCAGAACTTGATAAAACTGCCCTTCACTCACACCGTCACTGCAAAGACACAGTACCACCAACACATAAGCAATGAAAATGATTAAAAGGGAAAAGGTGACTCGGATTTAAATGAATGGATGTATATAGTTGAAATTTTACCGATAGAATATAATCCGCTGAGGTTTCTGTCCAGTCGCCCGACGGAATGAAATAAGCAGTTCCCTAAACAAAAGACAATCTCATTCATTAATAATATATATATAGTTATATTAACCATAAACAATTATTATTCTTCCAGTCGTGCGCACAAAAGTAAGATTTTAAATCCTTTACTTGATCATGCCACCGTGCATAGTCCCCTTGACTGGATCCTGCCAGGTTTTATATAGGTCTTGGATGAGCTCCTGCCTATGGGCTTGAGCACAGACCAAGCCTGCATATTTTGTGATTTCGGGCCAATCCTGAGAAGCAACAACCTGAAGAAAAATCCAACCCAACATATTTTATAATAAGTATATAGCANCATGCATCTGAAATTTGATCAGTCGAGACTTACAGCAGCAATGGATGGGCTAGAATCCTCTCCAGGATGAGGATGTGTGACATCAGCACCAAATATGATAGTCGGCCGATCACTGACAAGCGGTATACGCCTCGAGATTGCATCAACAAGCACAGTATTCCTCCCACCAACTTTCACATTAATCTTCAACGCAACATTCGCCAGATACTGTTTGCTCATCCTGTAAACGTGTTTTTGAAGGCAGCACTGGGAAACTATTCCAAGATCCGTTTCGCATATCCGCTTCAGATCACCTATGGAAAGAGATTAAACCATATCCATTTTATGTGTTCGTTCTTAGAGAGATGAAAATAATTTGAAAAGTGGAGCTCCTTTTACCATAAAGGGAGCCGTTATTGTCTGGCAATATCACAATTAGCAAGTCGAGCTCCTTCTTGTGGGGCTGCAATTTTGTCATCACGTCATGGAATCTAGCTTTAAGGACCCTTTCAACCTGATCCGGGCGGCCACTCAGAACTTGTAACACGGGTTCGGGGTTGTAATCCTGGAAGACAATGAACATTAGAAGTCGAAATAAAGTAATAACTCGAAAGAAGAAAAAGGTAAATAAATATATCTTATCTTTACCATGCCAGATGTAATGCACATCTGTGCAAGCTCGTGACAGAAACTGCGTGCAACACTGTCTTGAACATTACGGGCAAAGTTAATACAGATCCAGCTGTTCACAGTCCCACCATTTACCATCCTCTGCATGGGTCAATAGTAACCGTTAATGTAGTTTCTTTTCTGAAATACTAGCATACAGAAAATCAACTTTAGAAGGCAATTAAATTACCTTGTTCATCATGTTCCACTGTCCAACCTGAGGAAGACAGTCCTTTTCCCGACCAGAATCATGATATTTCAGCTGAAGAAATAGACGAAATTACATAAACGAGACGTACTTAAGTTAATTCTGAAAAAAGTTATCAAAGACTAGAGCATTCAGATTACCCGAGGTGGAGGCAGTACACGAGCTTCAACCTGTGCCAACTTGTCGCTAATTTTAATTCCAAACTCCTTGGCAAAAGGATCCTGGGCATATGCATTGTGGCGTACAGTCTGGAAAGGCAAGAAACTTAATCTTGTTAACTATTCCATGCTAAAGAATGATGAATTCGAGGAAACTAACACGAAATCAAATCACAATATCCATGATATGAATTTATATTAGATTTGACATTGAAGGTCGACCTGGAGTATGTCATACTCTCTTTCTTGTGGACGCTGGCAAGTGACTTTGAGAAGTGCAGTAATTTGTCTCTCGTTCAACCTCTTGGAATACCTCTGGCCCTCGACTATCTTGCACACCTATATGACCCAAAATGCTTTTATTTGGAAGTCTAAGTTTTCCCGTTATTTTGAAAAACTAAATCACAAGGGTAAGCATACAGACCTCCATCGGCAAATAGTTTGGCCGTTGAGTATTTCCAACTTGCAGGCAAGGCCACTGGGTGTGCTGAATAACAAACCCATAGGTTTCTTGGAAGTATTCAACCACAGATTTCATGGTACCTCTCTCGTCAACCGGGAATCTGAAAACAACCAGAGTTCAATTTTTCAAAATATGAATCCATTGGCATTATTGTCTTCAACAGATTCAAAATTCTATGAATTGAGAAAATATTATCATGAGAGGTGAGAAAAGGCTTAACTACAGTTTAAACAGCATATCTATTATATGTCCAAAATAGTACACTCGACATATTTGCCCTTGATAAAGCCATGATGTGATGATAACAGAATAACTAACTGTAGTTGGTCACTTACGTTAGTTCTCGTGTTGCCTGTGAAGTTAAACCAGAAATTCTGTATTTCCTTCGCATGTTCCCTCTATGAGTCACCTCTACCTTTACTCCTCTGAGTGCTTTTTTGATCTGTGAAATAAAAATCATGTGACTATAAACAAAGATGACAGCTACTAACAGATTGATAGGAATAAGATGTTGAGAACAAGAGATGAATGAAGCATATATTATGATCTAAAAGCGTGGAATCAAATTCTCAACGTCAGTTACATGCAAGCACGTAGATAAAAGGAATGGAAAATAATATCAAAGCTCTCCCTCAACAACTAAGTTCCTGAAATTAAACCAAAGACCAAGACCATACCTTAACACGATCAGCATCGGATAATGGTCTGGCCGAGACATCTCTATTCAGAAGCTGGCACACAAAATCAATCACGGGAAGTGGCTCAATGAAAGCAGTGGATGACATATCTGCTCAACCCAATGATTTAGAGTAAAAAAAAGTCAGTTGTCATTAAAACGTCGAGGAATGATCACTACACAAAATAATTAACTATTTAAGAATATTCATATCAGAAAAATGCACACACACCCAAATCTCCAATGGTAACAAACTACTAAGAATACGTAAAATTGAACTCTGTAAAAAGCATAGAAGCAG